ACTATCGAAGATGACAGAATTTACTTTTGCAGAAAAACTGAAAAAGTAAATTCTGTATAGGCTAACTTTATGTTGAATATTTCTGACATTGTGCAATTACAATTTTTAGCACTATTTAATAGTGACGTATAACTATACTATCGAATGTTTTTCCGTTCTTCGTATAGGGCGTGGGTGTGAGTGTAAAACGAAGAGTAAATCCACACCTCACACTCGCACGTGCACTCATACCTACACACTCACACCCACACCCTATAGTACCTTTTGATTTGGCAAGTAGTATCATCTCAATAGTCTTCATAGGAACGACGACACGTACAGATATAATATAGAAGATATTTCGAATCATCAGATTCGAGATTACTAAGACAACGTGTCTGATTGTACAATAGTTTGGCTGTAGATCTGGTTGCACTAAGTGATGAACAAAAAGAGAAATCCAAGGCAATGGTAAACCTATTGCTCGTATCATACAGCAAGAGTTGATAACACATATCGATGTATTCAATAAACATTCTCCCATCATACCGCACGGTTCCATCGATGAACATAGAGCAGCAGGTACACAGTGACTAGTATTATTTAAAGATCGATAGTCAAAACAAGATGTCCATGAGGTTAGACAACTAGAGCCAGTATTCCTAATTCCTCCACAAAAAAAGATAGGTCTCAGTGCTTCCTTTATAACTCAGCTTCCCAACGTCTTAGAAAGCTGATTCTTTTTTCCGGCATAGAGCAAGCATTTCTGCATCGATCCATGTGACACTCATTGAAAAATAATCAGCCATACGTTTACGATAATCGTTCCAATACGAGCACCTCAAAACTTCTTTCTTTCCTGTGTGTTTTTAATTTCGCCATGCAATGTAATTTTTGTTCCTAATTTCGCCATCCTAGCAGATTTACACAGATCCTCTCGAAAAAAAAGTGATTTAGTGAGGAAAACATATCCTAATGGAGATAAAAAAATATACCGTTCGATTCGTCTTGTCAAGACGCGCAGGCTCGTCCTGTTTTCAAATGAATTAGTAACAAGTTTCTTATGTTTTTTTTTTCACACAAAGAAAAAAATGAGCGTGGCGGAATAAAATCCTGTTCTTAATTTCGCCACTCCATGCAATATTTTCTCCTGATTTCGCCACCCAAGCAAAAACTGCATGATCGATTAGAAAAACATTCTCACTGCTACCATTAGTGATTCACGCTTACAGTTTTCACAGCAATGTGTAGCAATGAGTATAAGCCATTCAACTCTTTAATATTCGTCATATAATGCATTTATTTCGAAACCTATATGCAATTTTCGAATGTTTCATGTTATTTCAATCACGTATAAGGGTTTTTGATAATAGATGATTGAAATCCTATATTTTGTTGTTAAATAAATGCATTATATGACGAATATTAGGATGTAGGCATGGGTGTGTGGGTGCGGGTGTGACGTGTGGATTTACTCTTCGTTTTACACTCACACCCTTTTTCTGTTGTTGAAGGATACTTTGATGCAGGGCAAAAGAGGATTATATGCTGATTTTTACTATCTAGAATTTATTGCATATCATGAAACTCTAGGAGTGATGTCTAAGTGAACTTCGGTACACTTCCTATAGGAAAGAGCACACTATGCTTTTTTTTGTTATTTTTCAATAGGTTTTCTAGGACAATCTTTCGAGATCCCACGGTAATTTTATCTTAGGGTGGTAGCCCGGAGAGAACACTTACAACTTCTAGAGACCAGCTCTCAATTCAATGTGCATTTTCGGAGATAGCCTATCCTCAAAAACCCCAATTATATTAAAAACCCTTTTTTCAGAGTACTCCACTGAGTAAACGGAACAATGTAGATGGCTGAAACTTTCAGGAACAATAGAACTGTTACTACGATATCTACGCTCAAAAATTCATACTCCTATCTAATTTCTGACAAAAGTTATGAAGTACCAAACCAAAGTCACCGAAAATGTCATTTTTCCATATATCGGATGATTCATAAAACCCAAAGGGTTGAATAGTTTGAGACAAAAATTTTATAGTGAACACTACCCTGGTCGAACAATGTGGCCCGTATACGGCCATAAAGCGTTAAATAAGGCCCACAATCCAGGCCGATGTTTTACGACCGCATTTCTGACGTATTTTTGTCGTACACAATATACTTATGGTATGCATACGGCAAAATCACGGTAAAAATACGGTCGTAAATCATGGGCCTAGTGTACGGCGAAAAAACGGTACATAAACGGTACAAATATAGTCGTAAACGGTTTGTTCATGGCTGTATACAGTCCGTATTTGGTGACCGTATTCAATCACTCGGATATTCATTGGGATGTATGTCTTTAGAAAATTTCAGTTGAATCGGCAAAACCATTCTTCAGTTATGACCATATTAGGAACCCCTTGGTGAAAACGGTCACTTTTAGGATTTTTTGTAAAATGCTCATAAAAATTGAATGATTCCATATTTTTCAACACGACTTGCATCAGAATTCTTAAAACTTTTCTCTCTGCAATATTTCTTAAATAGAGCAAAATTTGACGACCTCGATTGAGCAAGTTCGTTCATGGCTTATATGAACTGGCTCATATATATACATCTATATATGTTCTTATCGTTAGAGAATGACTAGAGTTTCGTTTTCTATCATTTTCGTGCTAGTTATTGCTGTTCTTTGAGGTTAATAAATTCTATATTGAACTTGACAACTTTTCTATATTGTCAGTGATATCATAAGATGTGACAGTTTTTTTAAAAGTGAGACTATATTGAAAAGAAAACAGAAAATATTCGAAAATCTATATTCTGATAAACTCAGAAAATAGTAATTCATATTCTTGCAGACTGATTTCAAGTGTTATAAGTATAATAATAATTGTGAGAATCATGTAAAATATTATGAATACCATAAAAGATTCATCTAATTGATCAAGTGTGACTACCGATGAATTAATTGTATACAGTCTTTTTTTTAGATCGATAGAACTGTTCAAACAGCTCATTCGGTACGAACTGAAGTATAGAAGTAGTTGATCAGCTGATTTTTATACGAGTGAAAGAAGTGAACCTTGTCTATTCGTATTTATGACTATTTTTACTCGAAAATAAGTTTCTCAGAAGTAACTGTATAGCGAAAGGTAAATTACAGAAATGTTGCAAGCAGTCCATTATATCAGCAATTAAAAAAAGTATCCTATGCATTACTTGTGACTTGAAAATATTTTTAAAGAAAGAATTCCCAACAATATATGATGAATTCTTTGAGAAAAAAGTCAGCAATTTCTTAGAATGATTGCTATTTTATGAAGTCATACGAGAAAAAAATACTATATATATACTCTTCAGTGAAGACTTTTGAGATTCCTTGTAGATTGGTTCGTCCACTATTTCAAAACAAATTTTATTAACTCTTACCAGACGTTTTCGTGAGAAATATTCAAATGATCGAAAATGTTTGTTTAGTTGTCAGAAACATGTGAGAATTGGTGAAAAAATTTATAATTTGAAGTATTTAAACATTATAAAATGTGTTTAAATGTTTTTATTCTTAAACAGTTTTAACGTATTTCAGGGTGAATAATCAAATAACGGGTGGAGTACAATAAATGGTCACGATTTGCATCCTATATATTCATCACTTATTTTGCCTTATTAAAAAGCAATATATATCAAAAGATGCAGCGTGAAAATCTCTAAAACTTACATAAGACCGCTTCTTTTACAGCTGCACTTTTCGTTTTCAAAATGAAGAAAATTTTGAGCGAGAAAATTTCTACTATGCGAAAGTTTGTCACAAAGAATTATTCGTTCTTTTTTTGTAGAAAAGAATCACAATAAGCTTGACTGTGTAAATTGTAGAACTTTTCGCGTTGCACCTAGTATTATATATATATGTATTTTATTTATATTAAACATATCAGGTGGTAAATAAGAAAAATTAACGCATTTATTGTGTGTTGAAAAAAGATTTTTAGACAAAGTCGAAATCTGATCGCTTAGAATTTTCTTGATTTTCAAAAAGAAAAAAATACAACATTGTAGTCTGTTGTCGTTTGCAAATTTTAAAGATTTTCACACTTCATCTAATGATATATTTTGTTTTATTTAAGTAAACGATTTGAGATGATAAAAGGGTGAAATAAGAAAAAACACCATCGTTTTCTCATGGTCAATATTTGATCCGTCAAAAATTGGATTTTCTTGAAAGTCAAAAAGACAGCAACTAGGTAAAAAGCTAACTGATGTAAATTGTAGAAGTTTTCAGTCTGCATCGTTTAGTATAAATTGTTTTCTCAATACTCCGTATTGAACGACTCAGAACTGATATACAAAACGCAGCCAATATCTGACTCACCTGTTACTTGTAATAATTTCCATATTGAACTATTTAAAAGTCGTTTTGATCGTCGACTTGTCTGTATGAATACGCAGTATCCTTTTCTTTCTAAGAATAATCATTCTGTTTTCTTCTATTTTAATGCAAATTCTATTTTCGATTTCCATTTTTTAATTATCAAATTTTTCTCTATATGTTATAAATTTATTGTACATATATATACACACGCACTCAAATACACTGAAGACAATACTAACAAAATAGAGCAACACAAAAGAAAACAAAAGAATTAATATGTAGAACTTATTTAACACTTGTCTAGCACTCGTATGGATAAATCAATTGGGTATACTTGTATTAAATGCATATCATCAATGAATGACATTAATATATATATATATATATATATAATTAATAGAAAAAAATTTTAAGAATATACAAACGTTTCTAATTGAATTTTTATTATATCAAAAGTTGATAACCGATTGAAATTATCTATTAGATATAAAATATTTGAATAATTTTCATTTTTTCCAACATTTTCCCATAATTTTAATAATTTAAATGTTTTTTCTTGAATATTTTGTATGTTTATAATTGATCATCTTGAATCACATGATCATTCATATATATAATATTTAATGCACATTTTAAATCAAAAGTTCTTTAATAATCATAAATTGAAGATAATGAATCAAATAATGAGAAATGAGAAATAAAATGAAGACATTGATATTCAGTAAATGTAATTGAACCTTCTATTGATAATGGTTTTGTCATTTCATTGATTTGATATATTTTAGCATAATTAAAATCAATTAATTTTAATTGTTGACGACAATTACCTAACATTAAATTTTCGGGTTCTAAATTACGATGAATTATATGACAATCATATAAATATTGAATTATATCAATAAGTTGTTTTGATTGATTTAATTTTAAGACTTTTACAGGTTGCAATTCATTTTGATATAATATAAAATTACCTAAATACAAACCATAAAGAAATAAATTTTATTTATTCAAATCAAAAACTAATTGTTCTAGAATAATTTTTTATTTCTTGTTTTAAAAGATTATTTTACAAAAATAATTCTCTATTCGTTTTCTTTTTTTTTTCATCAGATTCTTAAGAGTTAATTTTCCCTCAAAACGTAAAACTTAACTCATATTTTCTTAATCATCACAAATTATTTTATCAAAATACTTAGTGTATTTTTCATCTTGATTAAAAATTTCTTCTAAAGATTTTATAAGAAAGAAAAATGATATAATAATATCTTATAATAGGAAAAATTTGAAAAAAGTATATTTATTTCTTTGATTTTTATTAAATTAACTTCAACGTTTGTTGAAAAAGGAAAATAAACTTTGATTTGTTTTTATTCATAATATTTTTTATAGGAATCTTTTATCGACTATTGACTTTTTGTTGTTGTTGTTTTTGTTTTTTTAGTAAAACAAAAGTTATTCATATCTTTAATCTATTATAAATAAGAGAATGTGTTTAAACGGAATTTTTATCATGTTCAATTATTAACAAAAAAAAGTCAATTAAAAACTAATATTACCTGTTGGTGATGAATCTATAATATTTTCAAAGAACAAATTAAATCTATTTGAAATATTTAATTCTTTCATTATTTTAATTTCATTTAAATATAATGATAAATATTTTGTTTGTTTACAAATTTTTATAACACATTGTTGACCATAATCTAGACAATTATTATTTTGATTTTTTTCTAATAAATAAACATTTGAAGTTAAACCACTACCTAATTTTCTTATAATATCATATTTATTATTAAATAATTTATTAATATCACTTTCAATTAATGTTGTATATTGATAAAAGTCTATACTCATTATTAAAAATTTTGTAAATATTATCCATGTATCTTTATTAAGATCTATTTGTCTTAATTGTTTATTTATTGTTGTTGTTTTCATATGTTTTTCTTATTTCTTTAAATGAATAATCAAGCATTTTTAAAGTTCGACTTTTAAAATAATTATATACACCAAAAATTGGATCCTTTTCAACATAAAAAAATCTTATATGCGTAATATTTGTTAAAAAACCATAGATTTGTTTACGACCTTGTATATCTAATAATCTTTGTAAATATTGTAATATTTGTCCATTGGCAGATTTATCTTTTATACGAATATTAAAAGTTTTTAATTCACCAACATATATAATAAAATCATCAAGACATTTATCGTCTTCATTTA